AGTATACCACAAGAAGATGTCACTGCTTTACCCTTAAATCGATTATCAAGATGGCAACTTATAAATCAAGTGCGGCAACATTTTTCGAAATGATGGCCATTTGCATATTTAAATCCGCTACAACAACGAAGCAAATGGACCAACCGCAATCCAAATAAGTGATCATCAAAGAAGAAAACTACCACCGCTTACAATTTACATGAAAAATGGCCAGAGTTAAACACTTGCTACCTGGTAAAGATGGAATCGTCCGAGTTGCAAGATTACAAACCAGTCAAGGAGAAGTCATTCGACCTGTAATAAGACTATGTCTTCTACCAACAAATTAAATGAGAAGAAAACACAAGTTTTTTGGCGGGTGGTATGTTTGATACTCTTTGCCATACTCCCATGATTACCTACTTGTTTCCTCTATGTTGACATTTTGTATTTGTAATGATTTTGATTTACATCTGTTCTATTCAGTGTTCTTCTTAATACACAATTTTACAGTCCACTAAAGCTCTTTACTTATTTTTTATAAGTTATAAGTAGTAGGGGAAAGCCGATTCTGGACCAACCCCAACCGACCACGGATTTCCCACCTGTTTACTACTTCCACTCATCAAATGGCTGGTTCTGGACCAAACCCATGGGTTGTCCTGGTAGGCTGAATTGGAGCGAGTCATCTTGTCTCTTGGCTTTTCTCCTCCTGGCTGTCTGGAAAGTTTCTCAGTTTGGGATGGGTATAAATTGATACATTTTATAAAAATAGTAATGTTTATTTGTATTTAAAATATTAGTTATAACACAACTTGTATAGGTCAAAATAAAAATCAAAGGTAAAATACAAGGAAAGAGAAATAAGCCATATGATAATCAAGAAACAAATGTAAAACCCCAGTTAACTAAAAACAGAATAAGGAACAAATTGAAAAATATGAAGTGTTTCATATGTATAGATTTACTTTACCTCATTACGATTGAAAATATGAAAAAAATATTATAAGTTAACTTCAATCCAAGACATTGTAATGTTTTTATTTCATCAATGAGACTATCATTGTTGATTTTTTTTGTTTTTTTACAGAGGTTAGTTGAGTTTGGTACCAGGAGTTTTACTGCATTGTACAAGAAGCTTATTTTACTTCAAACTACTACTTGAAGAGTAATAATTATAATTATAAGTAACAATTATAGAGTTTCAAATAATTACTACTTAATTACTTAAGTATTAATTCTAATAAATATAATATATAAATAATATATTTTATATCGCCAAGAACTTTGTAAAGTTGTACATAGAGAACTAAATTAGACCTTATATCCTTTGCTAGATAAGTACATTAAATAGTTCAACGTTAGGAAAGTATTATTAATTATTTTAACTTATTACCCTGAAGGTTCAGCAAAAGGTTATTAACATTTATTTATCACAATTGTTTCCATTAATATCACTAATAAATACCATCTTAAAACCCCTACAGGCTCATAAATATCAAGTTTTTAATTTATAAATCTCCTAGTCTAACATTTCCATTGGACTGAATATCACAAACATTGATACCGGTGATTAAAGACATCATTCAAAAGTGACATCATAATTACATTATTACACCTACAAAACATAAGCATTTATTGGATTTCTCTGAAATTTGTTGATAACAATTAAATAAAAATACAATAAAAGTGTTAGCAATCTGATCTAAACAGGTTAAAGACACATGAAAAGTTACTTCTTCATGTGTCTTTTGTTATGTTAAATAGTTGAAAACTTATATTTTTGTGCTTAGTTTTCTCTTAAAAGTAGTGGCTGCAGTAGAAGAAAATAATTCGGTAATAAATTATTCACTTATAGATCAAATCAAATCAAATCAAATCATTTATTTAGCCAAAATTTTAACAAAACAAGTTGCATTAGCTAAGTCACATTATTTCTAAAAGATGCCTTACATAGATCTATAATATATACAGGTATTTACAAAATGGCTTACATTATACTACAAATTGCATCAAAGACTTATAAATGAACATTTACAATGGCATTCCTAGAGCTGATATGATTTATGAATTCCTGGACGCTGTAAGAGGTAAAATTTATCAAAAGAGATTTTAATCGTTTTTTAAATTTTGGAAGGTTTGGTTCTAGCTTAAGAGAAAGTGGAAGAGAATTGAAAAGTTTTATTCCATTGTACTGTAAGTGTCTTTTGAAAAATGTCGTAGAATGTTTAGGGATTGGTAATGTGTGTGAGTTTCGCAAAGTGTAGTGGTTTTTGACAGAAACGTTAAATTGAGCAAGTTCTTGTTTTACAAATGTTAAGGATTCAAGAATATAAATGGATGGAAATGTCAAAATTTTTGAATGAGCAAAATATTTACGGCATGATTTACGCTTCTGCAAAGAGAAAATAGTCCTCATAGCCATTTTTTGAAGTTTAAACAAAATGTTGGTCTGCTGGCACTCACATCCCCAAATAGGAACGGCGTATGCTAAGTGGGGATAAATGAGCCCATAGTATGCAGTCAGCAGTACCTCCAGATTTTCATTGTTCTTGAGGTTACGCAAAACGAAAATACCAGAGCTAAGTTTCTTTGCAATGTGTTTCATATGGCCATGAAAACTAAGTCTCTCGTCCAAGATCAATCCAAGAAACTTGACATTTGGTGTTGGATGGACTTCGGTTTCGTCGAGAAGGAGACTGAATCCATTTGAGCGGTTTGATAAGCGGAAGTTAATGAGTTGTGTTTTTTCTGTGTTAATTTTCAATGAGCTGTCGTCAAACCATTGGATTATACTGTTTGCTTCCAAAAAACTAATTTGTTCTAAATTGAGAAAATCAGAGCTAGAAATCGAAAGAGAGGTGTCGTCGGCGAACAATGATAGATTTGAGGATGTTGTGCAGGAAGAAAGGTTGTTAATAAAAATTAGAAAAAGGACTGGTCCCAGGACGGAGCCTTGAGGAACCCCCCTTGCAACAGAATTCTCAGCAGAAGGGTAGGATCTAACACACCCAGCCTCATCTACTGCCCTTATCTCTACATATTGACTCCTGTCACAAAGAAATGACCTGACCCAATCCAAAGCCAATCCTCTCACGCCCACATTGCTCATTCTTTTGAGCAATAAGTTATGGTCCACCATGTCAAAGGCTTTGCTTAAGTCAAAAAATAAACCAGCAGAATAGTTTGCAGCATCTAATTCACAAACCACCTTGTTTATTAATTTAAACATCGCTGAAGTGGTAGATTTGCCCTTTGTAAATCCATGCTGGTTTTCGGATATGATATTATTTGTCCTGAAAAAATCCCACAGCCTTATCACCATGATTTTTTCAAATATCTTTGAAAACACAGACACTACTGATATGGGCCTATAGCTATTGCAAAGCGTTGGATCTCCTTTTTTGAATATAGGCCTGACCACTGACACCTTCAGCGCTTGGGGAAACGATCCACTAGAGAATGAAGTGTTAATTAAATGACATAGGGGTTTTATCAGATATGGTGCAATCTTTTTAAGTAAATACGGAGATATTTCATCAGCCCCTGAAGACTTTTTATTTTTTAGACTTTTAATGACACTTAAAATTTCCTTTTCGCTAGTTGGACGTAAAAAGAGTGAACCAACAGCTCTTTTATTAATATCTGTATCATTGGATGAAGTATGTCTTAAGTATTTACCCGTATCTGAGAAGAAGTTGTTAAGCTGATTGGAAATGCATTTGGGGTCTCTGATGACTTCGCCACTATCATTTTTGAGAATTATTTCTGTGGGATTCGTTTTGGTAGATGGTCGTCTATGATTTATTATGTTCCATATAGTTTTTGCTTTATTGTCTGAACCCTCAATTCTCTTTAAAGTGTCCTCTGACTTTATTTGTCTTATTAAACGTCTATACTGATTTTTTAACTTTTTGTAATGGTGAACCAAGTTGTGGGACGAATCAAGATTTTTTGTTTTGTTATATAGGGCAAACAGCTGTTCCTTAAACTTCGTAACCTCAGGTGACTTTATCTTTTTTCTAGTTGTATTTTTATTGATTTTTTTGTACTTCATGGGGAATGAGTTTTCGAATAAATATTTAATTTTGCTTAAAAATGTGTCAAACTTGGATTGTAAATCTGCTGCATCATAAACTTCATGCCAGTTTTCTTTTGAGATAAAATACGAGAATAAGTCCATGTTAGAATTAGAAAACAATCTTTCATACTTTAAAAAGGTTTTCGGAGCTAATGGAGTGGTATTGAATTGCAAAATTGCAGTTTGAGCGCTGTGATCTGATAGGCCTGAGGCTATGACAAAGCCCTTGACGTTACTCTTGTTTGTATACACATGGTCTATGAGACTACGAGACCCATTGACTTCTCTAGTGTAAGTTGTTATAATATTATGAAGATCAAATGAGGCCAGGTTTGATGTAAGCTGTTGAGCAATAAGTGTGTCACAAGAAAGGTTTATGTTAATGTCACCCATAACAACAATTGTGTTGTGGCGATTATAATATTTATTGATACAGTCAGTTATAATATCAAAAAACTCTGCATGCATGTTTGAAGGGGGTCTATATACAGCCAACAGCAAAATTGTCTCATCATCATCTATGGTTATTGAAACAGAAGCAAGCTCACAAATACCCTCTTTTGAGAACTCATCACAATCAAGAGGTTTGCAGTCAACTCCGGGTTTGGCCCATATGCCGGCTCCCCCGCCTTTCATTCCTGATCTGCAGAAAGATGTTATGCACATGTATTCGTTGATTGCGGAGTTTTCAGCTTCTTCTGCTTTTAAAAAGTGTTCGGTTAGACAGATAAAGTCTGGACATTCATCGTCAACAAATATCTCCAACTCGTTTATTTTGCTTAACAATCCTCTTATATTTTGATGCAGGAACTTGAGGCTTGTGTGCGCGGACCCCACCCTCCTCTGAGATAGATTGCCCAGGGGCAATCTATACCCAAACATACTTGGCTAGAAATGTAGCCAATTAAATTATAATAATACGTAAAACAAATGTAAAAAAATGTTGTTCATGCCTCACATAAAAAGATAAGAGCACTTTGAAAATTAATAACAACAACATACTTATTATGAACATATCATTCATTCCACTTATTATATCTGAATGCATGAACAGGACAATAGTCAACAATAGTATATAAACATTTAAAGAAGAAAACAATTTCAAATAAAACTTTCAAATTCAACAGCAATATTTTTGAAAACTTAAAAATATATTTATATTGAAAACAGTATTGCTTGACCCAAATAACCCTGTAAAAATGTTCCATGTCTAATCCATAAATGACAAGTTATTGATGATTTAACGTGGACGGACTTAATACTTTGTACATCAAAATATATACTTACCAGTGTGTGTTACTTTGCAAAATTAATAGTAAAATGGGTATAATAAAATAGACCTTTAACCCTCTTTGATATAACACTTACTGTAAACTTGTACGAAAAGGCAAATGATGTTCCCATAGGGAATTTTTTTAATTGGTCACACCAGGCATTGTCAGGCCAAATTGGAGAATTTTAGTTCTAATATTTCACTAAGACACTGTTAGTTTTGCCCCACTAGCATTACTTATAATCATTTTAGCATTGATGCTATTATATGGATAACATTTTTTAAGTCCACATTTTAATTTTTGTAAATATTAAATTTGTTGGGTAGGCCTACTATTCTCCTGGTATTTCAGTAGTGTTCTGTTTTTTTGTTGTTTTTTTTATAAAGTGATTACTTGATCAGGTCTATAATAGGCCTACTATGATGTGATGTAATAGTGCTGTGTGGAAAGTAATCTTCTCCAGATACAATGAGTGGGATTACTTGAATGGATATTCAGGGTGAACTTCAATCCCTTTAAAAATTCCACCGATAAACCGCCTGCCTTCTTCTCCTTTGTCTAGAGCGTTGAGTTGAGCCATCTCTGCTTCAGTTAGTTCAAAATCAAAAACCTGAAATAAATTATGTATTTACACTTGCACAACAAAATCTATAGTAACAGAAAGGAGATGATTTATTACTAAGTAACAAAAGATTCCAGATTTTTTATTTCATGACTTGCCAATTTACAAGTAATACAATGATAATGAATTATAACCTGTAACGTATATCGTTTTAAAAGCACACTCAACACAAAGAATACAGTCACTACAAATTCTACGGAAAGTAAATAAAAGAAACACGTCTTATAACACTTAAAACATAATTAACGCTTATACTGTTAATCACAAGATGGTAAGTGGTGATCAATTTCGATTAGACACTCCAATCATCATCAGACCCAATAGGCGAATAAATTCAACCCAGGCGTGTATTCGCCTGTATTCGCCTGAATGTGCGGCATCATCACTTTTTAATATGTTAAATTTGTTCAGCCATGAAGTTAAGTTTAAATGTTATAGGGCTTTGCATTATCCGTTATGCCTTAGATAAAAATGTATACCCCTGTTAAAACCGAATGGGCACCCGCATAATTTCTTATTTTTATGCAGTTTATTGAAATTATATATGAAAAAAGTATGACTTTTTATACTTATATTTAATGTTGAGTTCATGTAATTACAAGGTTAATTTAATCATATTTCACAATATTGGCTTAATTCTTGAATAATAACAAAAGTTAGGTTACAAACGTTATAAGTACATGCATACGTGTATTATTAGGAGTTCTGTAATGAACTGAACTGAGTATTTAGTAATGATACTCAAAATAGATTTTTTAAATTCTGGCCTATATAGGGTTAATCATGTAAATTAGTCGTACACATGCTCACATGTCTACATCTAAAAAACCCACATTTACTATCAGAATATTGTTTATATTGGATCTAAAACAGGTTGGCCAATACATACAAATGTATCTATTTACATATTTGATTTTGATTCAACAGGGAAAGAAACTAAAACAGCAAAAGAATTAACTAAGCGATCAACAGACATAATATACATGAAATATTTTATTAAGGTTCCATTCATCTGCTTTTATTTGTTAGCTCCATGACGTACAATTTTATTTGAAAATTCATTGAAACATCATCAAACAGCTTAAGCAAAATATTTGCGTCCTGCGTCTGCATATAATTGCCATATTCATGTGGGAGATTCCCGTTTCTCCCTCGCTCCTCCCAACTACCTGGCCCGCTGTCGTGGCTTTTGTCCCTAGGATTATATCTTCTCAACCCCTCACTAATTGCCGTGGCTTACGTCCCCCCAGCTTAGGGCCATAAACATTCGTGGCTTTCGTCCAGCGCCCATTAAAATGTGCAATTCACGCACGGGTCCCCTCGTTAGTTCTTTAATTGCTCATAATAGAACAAGGTCAACTAATCTAAATTGTGGTTCAAATCCGAGAATATAGAAAACATGTAATATAGTTGTAGTAAACATGTTTTACCTGATAGTTTTGGGTGATCCTTAAAGGATTGCTGCTCTTTGGTATGACGGCTACTCCAAGCTGCAGTAGATGCCTTAGCAACACTTGTGCTTCAGTCTTGTTGTGAGCCTCAGCTATTCGAACCACCACAGGGTCCACGAGAGGGTTTAGTTCTTTGATCCTACACACGTTTGTGATTAGTGATGTGTCATCATACAATGACATATGATACATAATAATGTACCGGAGGTACATGAAAGCAACTTTCGGTACCGCCGGAACCGAGAACAGATCTTAACCCTTCCCGGACCATAGACTGATATATCCGCTAGCATTTTGGGCATAGCGGACGGTAGTCGGAAATATCCGCCGTTTTATTACGACAGTTATTGTTATAGTTGATTGTCTATAACATAACAACATTAATCTTTGTAAAAACGTTGTTTTGTTTAATTACATCTTTAATCTATGTATGAGGAAAGTTTTTCTAGAAAAATAAGATATTCAATTAAAAAAAATTTTAAAAATGTAATTAAAAATTAAAAATAAACTGATAAACAAAATTATTTTGGACAAAAGTGCTGCATAGGTCAAATATTTACAACATTCTATATAAATTATAGATTTAAAAAAATAGTTTTAGTTTCTATCCAAATCAAATATTTTTACTGTCTGTTAACATGCTATAGGCGGTCCAGGAAAGGTTAAGATTCCGGTACCGGCGTAATGGTACCTATTTCAATACCAACAGCGGTAATATTGGCGGCACAGCCTGGCGTTCCCGCCCGGTTATCCGTTCCCAGGTGCTGATTTACTTTTATTGTTTATTTACTTCCAATGTGTTTTGTCAGAAACTAGAGACTGCCAAAACATTGGAATTGTGATCACAACTACTATTACGGTCACAATCGCGGGTGTTCTTACGTTGCATGACGGTAAAGGAAAGAAGACTGACAGATGACGGTAAAGGAAAGAAGACTGACAGAACATCAGTGAAACAATACATGCCCATAAGCTATTGGCGGTGATTAAAAAAAAAATGAAAATTTCCAAGTCCTATACAACATTTACTTACCGTAATTTATGAGCTTTTGCCTCACCATGAAAATTCACTTGAAATTTCTGGGTTTCCACGTTGATTGGTTGCTCTCAATGATTACATGATTACTCTCAATAGTTACTCCAGTACGTCTACTCCACATAGGTTAGTCAACATGGTAAATATCCTTACCCTTCATCAGAGCCACAGACGGCCTTGACAAACTGACTCATGGAGGGGGATCCTAGTGGAGCGTAAGCACAAATAGTTACTCCAGTACGTCTACTCCACTCCAGCAGAGGCTTCTGTTGACAATACAAGTACAGCTCCACCTGATTGTTGGCCGGAGGTATCCGAGCTGTCTTTAAAATGCGGTCAATCTGGTCGCTGTTGAAGTTAGAAACTCCAATAGCCTTTGTCCGTCCAGCATCGACTTGGGCCTCCATTGCCTGAAACATGTTATTTTGCTTTAGATTTTAGTAAAAAATTTGTCACTGAAAGTTATTCAACTTTCTGCTGTAGGCTTTACACATGTGGGAAAATGAGAATAACTACTGTCTTTTCAAGCAGTGATTTGTTGACTCTTTTGATCCAGTTATGCGCAGAATATTTTGATACTATATTATTAAAGACATTTGCTACTTTTCTGTTGAACTCAGGATAATTTTTAGGAGTGGATCAAGCGAAACTTTACACAATAATAACAGTGACAGACATCAATCAGTGTATTAATTATGATGGATGCTTCTCCTCATATCTATCCGTCCAGTCAGGCGTACCACAAGGATCAATTATAGGACCTACTATGTATATTTAACTTATGCATTAAGCAATGAAAATGTTAAATCTTATATGATGCATGATGATGATTTAGCTAAATTGTAATTGTTCTTCCTTAAAAATCTTCTACATACAGTACTACTAACTCTGTAATCGAGGACTGGACTGCTACCAATTCATTGTGTATAAGTAGTAGCAAAACAAAACACAGAATATTGAATTTACTTTAGGAAGTACCTGTTCAGATAGTGTTTTTGGGGAGTATTACTATAGCCTAACATTAAGTGGGATTTGCATATTGATAGGCCTATAATTTGTAAAAAGTTGCCAAGGGTACTTTTATGAAAAGAAAACTTAGACCGTTTGGATGTGTTGAAATCCAGTTATTTTGCTCACATTCAAAGTCATGTGTCTTATAGTATTGTTGTATGGGGTCTTTCTGGTAATGCTAAAAAGCTGCTATGGTCGCAAAAGAAAGCTGTTAGAAAAATATTCAATGTTGACAGTGAAACATATTGTAAGCTATTATTAAGGGAACTTGGAATTTTAACGGTCACTTCTTCGTATATTTTAGAGGCTGTATACTGTATATTACAAATAATAATATTACAGACTTCCCTACAAATGATTCAGTTCATAACTATTTTACCAGACAAAACACTTTCTTCGTCCAAACCAATGTAATTTTATGACCAAAATCAATAACTTTGGTGAATTTGGAAAAAGATTGTATAATATATTACCTGCTCACATTAAATCTCTTGAAATAAAAAGATTTAAATTTACTATTAGAAAGATTTTGGGTGATTTATGTGAATATAGGCTAATGTCAAAGAATTTGTAGATCATATATCATGGAATGAAAAATAATGTGATGAAAACTGTATGACAATGCTATACATGTATTTAATGTTGATGGCAATAAATGGATTTCATTTTATTTGATTTGAATTGAGATAACTTATTTTATAGAAACAGTATGGTAATCAATAAAAGTATCTCAGCAATTATAGTTCCCCAATGTATTTCCTAAAAGCCTTGAAGGAAGTGGTTTCCAACAACACCAGATAAGACTTAAAACTTGACAATATTGTAATGATAATGCAAGAGGAGAAAAGACATAACCAACAAAACCCAAAGTTATTAAACTATATACAAAAGTAGCAATTAGTGCAAAATTTGGACTCAATATTTAATATTGATAAAGGCTATGTCAAGGTCAGCCATTTTTAGTTCCTAAGTTTGTCACCGTCAGTCAATATTTTAAAACTACCAAGAAAAATGTTTCCTATCTTTGTTCTATATACAGTAGACGGACATACACAGAAAAACATTAATAGAAATAACACAAGGACATTTTAAGCCCACCTCCCCAATTAACAAAGCATCTAAATACTTCAATCGTAGGGCCTGGGTTAATCTTTAATTCGCCTGGGTGGGGCGACCAGGGCGGCCGCCCCGGGCGCCGTGGAAGCGGTGGCTTGCAGGGCGCCACGGCAAAAGTAATGCAACAAAATTGAAAAAATTAAGTTAGATGTACATAGGCTAACGTATTTTGGAAAGTTAGGTACAACTGAATTTTGAATATTACGTTGTATGCATTAAATTCATAGAAATATGTATTTGTTCAATACATTTTATGACACCAATCACTTTAAAATTTGCAACGTTTTCCCAAATTAAATATTTTGTAAAAATGGAGTAGCTGGATTTTCTTGTACATATAGGCTACTACTTTTAGTTTAGTAATAAAAGCCTAATAATGAACCCCACTGTGAGGTTGAAGGCCCTGTCACAACTAAATTATCTTAATATAGGCCTAAATCAATATTGCAATGCCGCAGTCTTGCTCTGTACACGTAGCTACCATTTTTATTTCGCCCGACCGGCCAACGGCCGACCTTGAGATCCACCCCTACCCCAGTCACTTTTTCCTCCTACGGCAGTCTCAGCTCAGCTGTCAGCTTAGTTTAATAAGTGTTTACGAGTCATTTACTTTTAATGTTCAGGATCTAAATGTGGTAACGTGGTTTTCTTTTATTCTGTATATTATATTCAGAGTAGATTTGGCCTGAGGTTTTGCATACCATTGCATTAATTTCAATTTTAACTGTATTAATTAATACTTACTTACTGCTTACTGCTGTTCTTCTCCTCCGCAGTCATCAAGATTGGGGGAGGCGTCATCTTTTTCTTTATCTTTATCTTCTTAGTTGTATCTTGGTTTTTTATTGTCTTCTGTTAAAAGTATGGTCATCCAGGAATTCATTTAAACTGTAGTAGGGTCGTTCAAGGAGATAGTTTTTCAGTTGGTTAGCAAATTTTTTCGGGTCTGTAATAGCTTTTAGCCGATGTGGTAATAAATTGTAAAGTTTCATCCCTCTATATGTTGGGGTTTTTGCTGTTTTTTCTAATCTGTGTTGCGGTAGATTCAGATCGGTTTTTTTCCTGGTGTTGTAGTTATGAGTTTCTGATCGTTTAGTGGGATTCAGTTTCATTGTTTGGGTTATCACTTCAATCAAGTATAAGGATGTTAATGTGAGAATTTTGTTTTTTATAAAAAATGGTTTGCAATGTTCTTGATAGTGGGTATTATTTAGGGTTCTTATTGCTTCCTTTTGTAATATGAAAATTGATTGGAAAAGGTCTGTACTTGCTGCGCCCCAGGCAACAATTCCAAAGCGGAGGTGTGATTCTATGAGTGCATGGTAGGCAATTTTAGCTGTAGTAAAGTCGGTTAGGTTAGTTATCCTTCTCATAGCATAGATTGATGTAGATAGTTTTTGTTGCAGTGAATTGATATGGTGTTCCCATTTTAGGTTTTCGTCTATTTCTATTCCCAGAAATTTGGTATGGTCTGATCTGTTTGGGTTTGAGTTACCTAGAGGGGCTTTGTTTGGGTTTGATTTGCAGGAAAATTCTATTGTAACAGTTTTGGCGTTATTGATTCTAAGGTCTATTGATTTGCAGAATTGCTCGATATGTTTTAAAATATTTTCTATTCCTCCGTTAGTTATGAGGTGATGATCTCGAGGGATTAGTACTGTGGTGTCATCGGCAAAAATAATACAGTCCATTCCTGTTGGTAGGTTTTCTGGAAAATTGTTCATATATATGATGAACAGGAGGGGGCCAAGGATGCTTCCTTGTGGAATTCCTTGGGTCATATCTTGAAGTCTAGATTTGGTTTTAAGTTCAATGTTGTTTTTTATGTAGCCTATTTCTACTTGTTGTTTTCTATTTGTGAGATAACTTTTGATCCATTTTTGAGCGTCCTGTTTTATGTTAAGTGCATTTAATTTACTTATAAGGGTTTTCCAGTTTAGACTGTCAAATGTTTTTTCTATATCCAGGTATATTCCTATGACATTGTTATTTTCTTCCCAGTTTTTTGTTATAAAGTCACAGAATTGAAATACTGCTGTAGTAATGGATTTTTGAGGTCTAAAACCATGTTGTTTTTCAGTTAGGAGGTTGTTTTCGTTTAGATGGTCCATTATCTGGTTAAAAATTATTTTCTCTATATATTTTGAGAGGGTGGGTAGTATTGAGATTGGCCTGTAGTTTGTTTTTAAATTGTTTTCTCCTTTTTTATACTTTGGGTAAATTGTTGCTATTTTCATTTTATCAGGTACATGTGAATTTAGGATTGAACTGTTTATGATGTCTAGTAGGGGGTTTATTAGTTCTTCTTTGCAGTATTTTATAACAGAGTTTGGGACTTCATCAAAGCCGCACACATTTTTTGAATCAAAAGTTTTAAATATATTGTTTAATTCGGTTTTGTTTATTGTATTGAATTTTGATAGAATTCCTAGTGAGGGTTCTTGAGGGGTTTGCATTTCTTCTTGTTCTTGCAATATTTCCCTGTTGTTGTGGGAGTTTTCAGCAGAGCCTCCGATTTTGATAAAATAGTCGTTAAAAAGTTCACTTATTTTTTCTGGGCACGAGATGATTTCATTTCCCTCCCTAAGCATAATATTTTCTCTGTTGTATGGGTTTTTATTTCTTTCTTTATTTATGATTCTCCAGATTTCTTTATTTTTGTTTTTTGATTCTTCAATTTTAGATGATATTTTTGACCTTTTCTTTAGTTTTATTTCGGAGTCATACTTCTTTTTTGTTTCTGTAAAAGTAGCTTTATCCTCAGGCCTATTTGTTGTTAAGTATTTTAGGTGTGAGTGTTTCATCTCCTGTCGTAGTTCATTTATATTGTCATCATAAATGAATTCGTTTACGCCATTATTGCCATTTTTTAAGGTTTTGTAGGTCTTTGGCATGTGTGTCTGCATAATTTCCACGATGGTTCTTAGGAATGTATTATATTTTTCCTCTGTGCATTTATGTTGATAAACTATTGACCAGTCCACGTTTGATAGTGCATGTTTTACATCAGAGAGGGATTTAGTTGTTATCTGTCTTGAGTATTTTTTTATATTTGATGGTTTAGGATTGAAAAGGTTTATTTTGCAGAAAACTCCGAGATGGTCGGAAATAAAGTTTTGTGTGGTTTCGGATTTTATATTTGCAGGGTTTATATCTGTGTAGCAGCAGTCTATACTAGTTTTTGTAGTGTGTGTAATTCTGGTATGGGGCAGTTCTTCTATTCTTATGTCAAAAATATTTAGTAGAGCAGTAAGGTCTTTGATGTTGCTTTTGTCTTTGTCGATTATATTTAGGTTTGAATCGCCCATAATGATGATCTCCTTCCGGGGTTTTGAGTGAGTGTGTAGTAGGTTTTGCAGGTTTGAGAAAAAAGTTTGTAGGTCCCCATTGGGTGGTCTGTAGAGTCCCAAGATTAGAAGGTTTCTTCTCCTTTCCTTAATTTCTATTGCCGCCAGTTCAATATTCATTTCATCTGTAGTTCAATAACATACATAGTACTTTTTATAATATTTTCTTACATTAATTATAGATTTGATTATCATCAATTAAAAAATATTTTCATTAAAAATGTAAGTAATTTAATGTCTGATTCCTGACTCTATTATTTTTGTAAGGTAATTTAATCCGTATGGGTGTCTGTTGTTGTTGGGCATTAAAACGAAGATAGCGACACAACTCGCCACACAACTTTCGAGCATCACTCATTGTGTGTTTGGGGGGGGGCGCCTGACATTCCGCCTCGGACGCCAATAAACCACGCGACGGTCCTGTTTGTTCCCCCTAGAATTGTTGTAAAAGATAATATGGCATAGTAACAAAGTATTTGCAATCCTAAGCAACATAACTTTCACAACGAATTTGTAAGCAGTGAATTCAGGTTGGTTATATAGCCTAATTATTTATTATTTACCTTATGTTGATTAGGCTACTTTACTAACTGAATGAATTCATTCATACAATAAGAAAGTTTGATCTTACTTATAGTTATTTCCAGTAAAGAATTAGGCCTACTAAATAAATCTCACAAACTTTGTTAAAAATAAATTAATTGGTGAAATCAAGAAGAAAAAGTGAATTGGCCGATTGTTATATGGCAATAAGAAAATTCAAATCAAGTGAATGATCAAAATTTACCTTCCAAATAGCAGCATGGTCAGTAGACATATCTACAAGGATGTTGCCCTTATCATCCCGAGGCAGAGGACCCTCTCCATGCACCAGTCCGACGGGATGATGGATCAGGTACAGATCCACATAGGTCAGTTGCAAATCAGACAACGATTGGCTCAGGTACTTTTCCACATATTTTTCGTTCATTGCTATGTTTGGTAGCTAGAACCACAACTCAAAATTTAATTTATATTTGAATTATTTAAAAACAATACAAAATTTCAAAAAAATAATGTGACACTATAAATAACTTGTCAAGAATGTAGAATTGATTAAATATAATAGAATATCCCATTTCAAAACATTAATATTACAGATTGATAAAACTTAAAAGGAAAATAAATGTTGAAAACTGGGACACGTTCACGTCGGCAATGAAACCCTGACATTTGTTTACCTTTACGTTAAAAAATTCTCTATCTTCATAGAGCCAAACATGGTTAAGTGATTTTTCAACTCCTTAGGGAATGTATGAAATTAATACTTAGACAGGTATTATATTTACTCTAAATTAAATTTATTTCATATATATATCTGAAGGGTATACCTACTCAAGGGAGTCACCCTGGTATGATGATGACTTCAATTTAGACGTCATATACACCAACGAGTGAACAAGCTCTTTACACATCTTGCTCATTTTTTATTACATGTCTACAAAAGAAAATAGTAAAATAGCCTATCTACACTGCAGCCCAAACAATTTTTTTTTATTTACCTGATTGGACTCACTAAAATATATCTTTAAAAAAGGTGGATCTTAATTTGTTGTGTCACTAATAATCGAAAAATCGACAAAACTTTACAATGTACAAATTTTAAATTGCAGCCATTTGATTTTTTTTAAATGAATAGGTTTAACTAAGAACTGTGAATCTTATTTAAAAACACAAGAAAACTGTTTTGTTGGAAATTTTCAAGCAAACGTCATGATTCAAAATTAATAATTGATTCTAATAACTATATGGTTATTTTACAATGTCTTACCTTTGTGACGATGAATAGTTCTTCACGTTTTAGTTTCCCACTATCAAACCACTTTTTTAAAGCTCTCCCAATGGCGGCTTCATTCATGTAGACAAAGGCAGTGTCAATGTGCCTATAGCCTGCTTCTAGAGCGGCATTGAGGGCAGCTTCTATCACATCTTCCCCTGCCTGCCAAATAAACTTAAATTATTAACACTACAGTACAGTATATGTTTTGGAGTGCCGGTACTCGGCATTCAGTATAAAATTAGCAGAAGATGTCATATATTATGAGATAGAAGGTTTTTTTATTTGCAGAGAATATATAGAATGCCTACAATAGTTACAGGTTCATGGTTACATAGTTACAGGGAAAATGGAAATCTTCCCCACAAGACCGAAGTCTGACTGTAGAAAAGAGTTATTTGGCGCTCAAAAAAGTCTCTAATAATTCACAAACCCACAACTTAAGCCTAAAAATACATAAGTTTACTGAAAATAAAGAGAAAACAACACTGTTAGAGGTCGTGCGGAACGAGGTGAAGCCTGAGATTTTCGGCGGGAACTGTCTAAAGCGGGGAAATCCATGGTGGGGGTAGGAGACGAGCCGATCGTCGCCTCGCATAGCGAAACTTCCCCCGCCACACCACTATTCCCCTCCAAGCTTCACCTCGTTCCGCACGACCTCTATGTCCATATATTTTACCAATTTTTTGCAGGTGTCTATTAGAATATGGTGATTTGGACACAAAAAGTTAATAAATAATAGTGGTACAAGATTAGTAGCCTAACTTTCCTGTGTCGATTTGTGTAGGTGTATACAGGCAGTGTTTTTTTTGTTTTTATCAAATATTAATAGCTCAGTATAAATAAATAAATTTGTCAAGTTTGATAAAAATATATCCATAAACAAGCAAACTAAATAATTTTATAATACTCACCATAAGAATAACATTGGGAATTTTAAATTTACAATTTTTTTAATTTTCTCTGTAACCAAATTTTTGCCTTACACCTTCAAACCAAATTTCATCAAAATCGGACAAAAATTAGGCTACTCAAGTTATCGCGTTCACAGATACCATACAGGTTGAGTTTTAAATGAGTTCCCCCGTACTTTTTTCTACATTTCTTGACATATCAACTCTGGACTACGTCAGATCATTGTAGAGTGGTAAGTAGGCCTAAGTTAACTTAGGCCTACTTCATTTTGACTGGGTATAAATTTTTGACCGCCATCTTGGATACAAAGTATTTTTATAGAATAGATACAATACTTAGAAATTAGATGATAATAAATGGCAATGCTGCATTAACAAAACAATCGTCATGAACATCTCGGTAGGGACTTCTCGCCTCTCGGTTCTCTAGACGAATGCGAGATACGAGAGAAGAAAAGTCGTGCTGAAACAAGACAATCTCTACGAAAATCTCGATAAAACCTCTCGGTAAGAACCTATCGCTAAACAAAAATACAATCGAAACGTCTCGAGGCTCAAACAGCGCATCAATAATATGTAGGCCTAGCCTAACTTAAACAAACTTCAAAATACAGGTTGTGGTTTTTATAATAAAACTTTATGGTAAGGAAAGTATAGGACTAGTTTCATAGGTGTCTAGATAAAGTTAGCACAAAAGGAAGGCTGTTTTTAGTGAACCAACCTGCCAAGTTCCAAGGCCGACAAGAGGCATCTTCATATTTGGTGGCGCTGTAAGAACAGAGTCACCAGTTAATTTCTTTGCCATTTCTATCAATTTAGGTTTAATTATTAAAACTAATAATCAAGCTATATTCCTCACATTCACAAGTCAAGTTACAACTTAACTTGACAAGTAGTGGAGTAGTAGTGAATTGACACTGACTTGACGACAGGGACAGAGGTTGAGTTTTGTTTGAGTTTGATTTTTTTTAGTATAGTGTAGTGAGTGACGTGACAGTGACAGTCCGACAATCAGTGTTGCCGTCATAGACCTATTAAAATTCCCTACCTGACTAATAATAAAAAATCAAAAATCCCCATTTTATCCCCAGCTAAAGCAAAATCCTTCAATAATCCACCAAGACATAATCGACGATCTCAATTATTAATACAGTATTGTATTTTTAATTTTTTATTTAAGTCTCTCTCCCATTTTTCTAGTTTACCTTAAGCAAGCAGGATAGATTAAATGCTACATGTAACTTACTCTCGACATCAACCCTCAGTCTACTTTCAATGATGATAAATAGGCATCACTAAAAATTTAAATTTAAGAGGCTAAATATTACTGTAGTAAAATAATAAAATTAATCTATAGTTAAAAACAAGTTCTAAACACATAAACTAAAGAATTACAGTTATATCAGTAATCATTTTGAAAGCTTTATTTATAATTCCGAATCAATTGGTGAAAGTCCCACGCATATATGATTTTTTTGTTAAAGTTATAGAGCTTTGAAATTTTGTTATAGAAAATGGGGTACTTTCCTGTTAAAGGGAACATTCATTATTATCGATGATTTTTTTCTCGATATATCGATATTTTTGTTTTCCGATCAGATCTATTACAAATTGACAACAACAAATAACTGATCTTGTTTAGGCTAAAATAGTCTATATGGATTATAAGAATGAAACTGTTCTAAACTAACCTAACATAACCAACCAAACTTGCTGTACCATTTAAATCTTCCGTTTGGGTTTGATAATAGAAAAGGCAAGTTAAACACGGAATTTTTAAATGTTACAGCAAGTTTGGTTAGTTATGTTATGTTATTTTTTTAGAACAGTTTCATATACTGAATAATATTTATCGTAGTTGTCAGCTGATATGTTTCAATTTGTTAATATCGATATATCGAGAAAAAAAATCATCGATAATAATGAATGTTCCCTTTAACAGGAAAGTACCGAAAATGGTCATTTGGAGAAAAACTGATTTGAAAATTACAAATACAGTACGCGTAAAAACGGTGTTTTTCGTATTTAAGAAACTATTTTGGTATCAAAGGAAAGCTTATAATGTCCTCTTTGGAACCAATACAAATTTTTGTCTCAACTAACGGTAGTTCTCATTTAAATAATTGTTTTATAGAAGCATGTCGTAAAAATTACATTCCAGAAAAGGGACCTCTTGTCGGCCCTATGTTATTTCTCCAAGATAAGAAAAGGTACCTCTTGTCGGGACCGCAACATTTTTGAGATAATTTGTTCTCTGTAAACTGAACTTTGTTGTTGTTCTCTAAATTTCCACTAGAATGCAGGACAATTCATTTTTTGGACTAAAATCTGTTTAAAAAGTGAATACTAGAAATGGGACCTCTTGTCGTTATGATGGCGAAATAGCATTGAGCGACAAGAGGTACCTTTTCTCAGACATACATACATACACACATGATACATGATCTCTCCATCCGTAGTCCTTTGCCTTAAGGAATTGGACAGGTCAGGGTTTAAACAAAGAATAACCAAGCTTAATACTAGTTTTTGTCCCCATCAAGGTAACTGTCTATGTCCTGTAAACTTAACTCCACCGCGCAGAGGCTAACAAAATGATTTATTTCGACCTTTTGCATCTTCAATTCGATATTTTAACCGATACTGTCATGTTCTATGTTAAATGAGGTATAAAAATCGATAAAACCCCAAAGCTCTATATTTTATACCTTAATTACTTATATTGGCCGTACTGAAAATTTTGCATCTCCGACAAGAGGTCCCTTTTCGCTTTCCACATCACATATTATCACTGAATGGTGTAATAAATCTCTTGAATCTCTCTCTCTCTCTCTCTCTCTCTCTCTCCCTCTCTCTCTCTCTCTCTCTCTCCCCTCTCTCTCACTCGCTCTCTCTTAGACCAGAGGTTAACATATATTAATGAGGGCCTTTCCATATTACCGTCGATATCTGATGTTCACAACTATTGTACTAGATCTAAAGATAATCTGTCTACACTAAGGCATAAGTATACAGCCACTCAAAATAGTTTTGAGTACCAAGGTGTTAAAATGTACAATTTCTTGCCTGCATCCATCAAAAACCTGTGTGTTTCAAAATTTAAACATGTTTTAAAAACTACTCTAACCCAGGCTTGCCTGTATAAACATGAAGAGTACTTTGGTTTAGAGTTTTAGTTTTAGTTGCCATCTTGATTGTTTTCTTTTTCTTTTGACGATTGTCATGAACTTTGTACTCAGTTTTAACGACAATAAAGCATTTCATTTCATTTCATTTCATTTAATTTCATTTCATTTAATTTCATTTCATTTCATTTCATTACCATTGACAATATATACTTATTACGTAAAATTTATGTGATGATCCTCCACATGGGGGAATATTTAATCTACGCCTCCGTATAATGATGAAATCAAAGACGTACAAAAAAATTGGCAAGACTTCCAACACTGAGCTAAAATTATAACTGGAGGTAGCACTGCCATGGCAGAAGTCTGTCAAAAGCGAGTCGCTGATTTTGTTAGGTTGGTATAGCAGTAAGTTTTCTTACCATAGCAATAACATGGCTTCTTATAACTAGGTTGGTATAGCAGTGAGTATTTTTGTCATACTTGAATACTTTTAATACTTTAATAATTTTCTTTGAAATGGTGACCATACAAAGTAGGTATTTTAAGCCAAGTATAATAATAGTTATAGCAATAATATGGCTTCTTATGGACACCCACCTCACGCAAACATGGCGGCTGGCGACACGCATCTTTGACATTCAGTGCTACCTCCAGTTAGAATTATAGCTCAGTGACTTCCAATGTCAAAATCAGTATCAGATGAAGGAATGATGGAATCAGAAATCAGAATTATTGGACTGGAATTGGAAGTAGTGAAGTAAAGTTAAAAAGTATGGCGCATCGCTGACAGAAGGGAAGTGTTGCTATTGCCTTACTTTTTACAAGGTATTTACCACAGCAGACACACCCAAATTGTGCTAATTTTTTGATTTATGGATTAGATTCTTCCCGCATATTCAAAGGTAAGAAATTATGCTTTATCAATCAATATCCTCATGGATTTTTCAAAAACTATATAATATCGATGAATTCATCAATGTCCTGATTTTATTGGGCCTAAGTCTACCTTTCCTACTTTCAATAAGTTAATGTAATTTCTCACAGGCCTAGCATATGAAAAGCAATAGCCTATTCTAAATCATAAGGAACTGTCAATTAACTCGGTGTTTTATATTTAATTCGGGGTCTGGTCTGAGTTGAGCATAGATTTAACTAGGCCTATCTAACTGGCCAGCTATTTTGGTTCTAAAATAGCCAAATTAAGTTAGTTCGGTATTCCTCCACTTCAACAAGTTGAAGATTCCTAATTTGTAATCATTCATTAGGCTATTTGTGTTTTGACCCAATTAATGTTTTGAACTGTCAGTCATGAAACCCGTCATTGGAACTATTATTTTTGCCTGTAGAAGGTTGTTCGATATAATTATTTATGCAACAACAACAACAAGACGATGGATCACACCTACATCTCGTCAGGCCTAATGTTAGCATACCGTAGCCTAGCCTACCTTCATTTAACTTATGCCTAACTTCAAACTGTTGATTGTGCATTAACCCTTGGGAGACGATTTTATTGAGTTTTTCTGAAAGATCTTTTATTTTAGTCAAATGTTTTATAATTTTTCATCAGTTGACAGCTGCAAAAATTACCATATCTTATGCACGTCTTTCTAGGACAACGACCTCATTTCATTCCTTAAAATCTCCCCCCACTGCCCCACATTCAATCAGAATGTAAGAGTAACTTAGTGTAGCACAGAAACCCTCACCATGTCTCATATGGAGAACCACTAAGTTCCTGGAGTTGAGTTCCATTAGCTGTAATGGGCTCATTAAGTTATTTGGGATTATTCAGCTGTGTATAAGGAATGTCGACCTTAGTTACTAACAAGACTACAAGATCGTGCCACTCATCTACTTTCATCTCCATTCACACTTGGCTTAAAATACATACTTTGTATGGTCGCCATTTAATAAGAAAAGTATGTAGGCCTAAAGTAATAAAGTAAGTATTCTTTGTGTCATTTCTTTTTTTTCTGTCATTGTTTAAGTTAATCAAAATCCATATTTCTAGCCCTTTAGCTGTATCTAACAGAGTTGCCTATCCCCCCCAAAGCCAGAGCCGCAATCCCCCTCCCCAAGCAGTCCCCCCTATTTCTGCCAATTTGACATACTTGGCAGTTTCCCTTTAGCACATAAAAGGAAAATTTCAAGTAAGTTATTTAATAAAGTGAAATGAAATTTTTAATAGGAAACGTCATTTTAACAATACAAAATCATATCCAACTAATTGATGAATCAGAATTTAAAAAATTTCCAATTAAGAAACTTAGGCTAACTGTCAGCCAACATGTTCTTAGTTGTGCAATAGACAACGTCTTCAAAACGTTCAACAATATAACTTAGTCAATGCATCTACAAAAATTGCCAGGCAAAATACCCACAATCCCTACCTTAATAACCACCAGCACGAAATGCTTTTGTGACAAAGTAATCTTAATTCATTTTGATAGCCCCAGAATTACGTTTAATGACTAATAAGCTTAATGGTTAAGCTGTACCTTGTCAGACAACCCTTAACATTTACACTGTAGTGTTGAATTTTATTGGCTACTTATGTTTTGGCGGTTATTTAACTCCACCATCGTCAGGCTTACAAAATCCACCTCTGGAGGTGTTGTCAACAAATTTCACAAACACTTAAGTTAGGGTAGGGTACCTATATATAACATTAACTTAAACACGAAACGATTAAACAGATAGGCCTATCAATTATTCATGTGGGCGGGCAGGACTGGAAGTAGACTGAATCAGGTTATGACGGACTGACGTGGACTCTGGATTGTCGTCTACGTTATCAAAAGCTGATATTGGACTATTGTAGTGACGGAGGAGAGTGTTGAATTTTTTGTTCAAATTTATTGACAATAAGTAACCATGATATGCTGGATATAACTTAAATTAAAGTCTCGACATTCTACATACGGTAAGCCTATTGCGGGAATGAGAATTTATTATAGTAGTTTACGCAACAATTGCGTTAAGTTAGTCTTTACGACACGAGTAGAAAAGGCTCGTGGCTTAAAAACTTCTACGAGTGTCGTAAAGACTATTAACGCGAGTTGCATACACTACTTTACCTAGGACAGTTTTTTTTTTTTTTTTTAATTACTAACAATCACTACCGGTACTCATAACTTCTTAGAGAGGACATGTTTTCGTTTATTGTCATTGCCTCTGAAAGTGGTGCAACGACTTATTGTATCAGCTGATTTCATGTAATTACGTGTTTGTAAAACTTCGTTAAATAAATACGTAGCTTTTTTTCAGGGAATAAGTTCTGCTAGCAGCATTTTTACCATAAATACTGTAGGTACCGTTTTAGGTACAATTAAGGAAATATTGTTGTTTCTTTTTTTTGGACAACTGAATAATTATAGTGAAACAGTTGATTTACAGTTGGATCTCAGCATCGAATATTGTGGTCCACAACGAGTTGGGTGAAAAAGTGGTTAAGGGGAGTCTGTACCTTTTTGGTGAAAAAAAAAGGTTTTTTTTTATTTTTATCTTAAAAAATTCTCCAATTCTTTGTGTTTATTTATATATATAACACTTCATATTTTGCAAAAGTTTTTTTATAAAAAAAAACAAATAAATAGTACTGCACGATATTTTTCAATGTTCTTAGGATGCGCGACCTAAGCCCTTTAGAACTTCAAGGGCGTTTTACCGAAAATAGTGTTTTTTAAAAGTTAGGTACGCATAACTTAAAAACTATAAGAGATAGCAATATGAAACTTCACACACATCTTCTTCACATCATGGTGAGTAGTGCTTGATACCTCTTTTAGTTTAAAATGATTTGGTTTAAGTCATTACCAAGGTAACATACAAAATAAATCAGGTAAAAAAATTGCATATTTTATTTATAAAAATAAAAAATAAAAAACAAGAATATATTTAAGTTTTAACTAGCAAGCCGGGTACCCTATGGCATAGAGATCATGTAGTAAAAATTTCACTTTAAATGGTTAATAGGTTGCTGAGGAATGCGTACCTATATTGGTGCATATCTTCCCATTTAAATAGCATTAGGGCGTAAAAGGGACAGACTCCCCTTAAGAGGTTTTCAAAATAAACCAGAAGCAGATTTTCAATTATCAATTTAACCTTATTTTGTTTCGTCCATTCAATGAATTGCTGGTATGTAATTTCATCATGTTTCAATTTTGGTGACAAACTTGAATTTTAATGTGCATTTATTTAGCTGCATAAAAATACATAACAGGTATAGTTATTTTACAAAGTAGATTTGTTATAGTTTTTAATAAACATTGCTGCAAAATGCCTGAAAATCGACCGACACCACACAAAAAATGACTGACACCAGGAACATTAATTACAAATAGCAAAATTATGTTGGTGTTTAATGGTGAACTACTTAAAAACACTTTTTCCCACTGCTTAGCCTATACAAAATGATAGCCTACATTCATTATGACAGCTAGCAGAAAACTGTGCCCCGAAAATGCCCCCCCCCCAAAAAAAAAAAAAAATTCCAGTTGCACAAGCGCGCCACTGTTCCCCCCTCTGGGCACTCCTGATCTTAACTAACAAGTAGGCTTACTTTGTGAGCTGCTGATCGATGAAGGAAACCCTTACTTTTTATTATCTCATTAATTTAAATTGTATGTAAACCTACATATTTACACTGTGTTTGATGATTTCATTACTCGGAAAAAACACTCGTCATCTTTTCTATCTTAACAAATCCTAATCACCCCTTGGATTGTCAAAGCTTGTAGCTTGTATGGTACCTTCCTAAGTTAAGTAGGCTAGTGTAAGAATTTGCTAGCCCAATTTATAAAAACATAACAAGAAACATTCGATCAGGGATCTTATTCTGTAATTTTAATTAGAGACCCTTAGATGGTTTCAATTCAGGATACATCCAGTAAACTGACTTTTTTTTTTCTTTGCTTCTTGAGCTCAGTTACCAAATGACAATGAGTGAGTTAAGCTTAAATATAATTCAAATGATATGGCTGAGGTGAAATATAGGCTATTTTCATGGTGGAAAGAAAATACATCTAGGTGTGCTATTCCCGGTCATATTCTGACGTCACTTGGATTGCAAACAAAAGATCATCTGATTGTAACTGTCAAATTAGTATGTATTTGTTTTGATTTTATTGATATTGTTTTTTTATTAAAACTCACATTATAAAAACAATAACAACCAAATCAAAACAAATACATATACTAATTTGACAGTTACAATCAGGTGATCTTTCGTTTGCAATCTGAGTGACGTCAGAATATGACGGGAATAGCACACCTATGTATTTTCCTTCCACCATGGGCTATTTTACTTTTAAAGCAATCAGAATCTTGACCCTTTTCTTATAAAGTTGTAGTTTCTAGATAGTATTTCTAAGTTAGTAGTCTACTTTATTGATTGCTTGACTATTAAAAAAATACAAGAACTTCAACTAAGTTAGGCCTATCCAAATCAATTGGGACCGTATGACATTCGGATAGTCAAAAATGTCTGAGGGGTTTAGTTGATTTTTACCAAAACTTAGGGTACTTCATAGAACAGGCCAAATCGAATTAAGCTTTTACCATCCCAATTGAAGAATGCCTCTGCGAAGATAGGCACACTAACTTTGCACATTCTGTTACTGGCTCACAACCACGTTCTTTTTCAATAACAAAATTGGCAACAGCTGGTCTATATAGCTGGGATGTCTACTCCAGTATCTAATAGTAAATGGTTCTACAATGGATCAATTCACCAATGGTGGTCAATGGTGCCTTATGTCACAAGGTGTTTAAAATATTCTCAAAAAGTGTGGTAATATTATTTGTGTGACCACTGTGGATTTGCTCTGTACATCCATTTTCCTATAAACAAATTCGATTGCTTGAGCTTGATCCAGGAATAGGTTTATTGGGTCAAAATATAACAAAAATCAACAACAACATTTCCCCCAAAAATGCCTCATTAATGATATATATACCATTTTGTTTTTTGGGGTTTTAAATTTATGTCACAAGAACTAATTAAGATAGGGTATCTTTATAAAACTTGGTATACAAATTTATCAAGTCATAATGTGTTTACGAAAAATAACAATAACCATTACGGTACTAAATACTTTTGGTTTCAAAATGGTGTGCATTTTATCTTTTATAACTTTGATTAGGTACTAAAAAAGCTGATTTTATGAAAAAATACCAAGATCACTTTTATTTAGCAGTTAAATTCCCTATCGAATGACACCAAGGTCAAAAAGATTGAATAATAAATAGCTGAGAAATCACGATTTTTGGCACAAAATGAGGCGAATCTTGACTGCAAGGCCTTTTTTTGCCTGGCCTGTAAAACTAAAACTCGTTATTTCTCAGCTATTTATTATTCAAATATTTTTAACTTGATGTCGTTTGATAGGGAATTTTAAATGCCAATTAAAAGTGTTCTTGGAATTTTTTCATAAAATCTGTTTTTTTAGTAATTAAAGCTATAAAAATTAAAATGCCCACCATTCCGAAACCAATTAACGTTTTGTAATGATTATTTTTTTGTAAACACATTATGACTTTATAACATTGAACACCAAGATTCATAAAGATATCTTAAATAGTTCTTGAGATACATGCTAAATTTAAACCTGAATAAACAAAATGGCAGATATCTTGCTAACAAGGAATTTTTGGAGAAAATGTTTTTCTTAGTTTTTTTTTTACCCAATAAACATATTCCTGGATTCTTTAAACTTTCTTGACGGACACCCTGTATAGCCTAAAGATTTGTATTGGTATTACTGCAAAACCTTACGAGTTTCTACAGTAATGTTCCTATAGGTAATAGTAAGGTTAATATCGCCACTTAAGTACAATTATATCTACATGAATGAGTTCATCTATTGTATTGAATTTGCTATTTTGGCATTTTGTAATTTTGGTGGATACGGTAAGTACCGTAATCAAAACGTCCGATTTACACTGAAGAGAGTTCTTGCATTTATGTAGGCCTACTTATAAAACAAAATACTTTCCTGGGTAATTTGTAATAAGTCCTGATTTAGTAAATATGACAAAATCCTTGTTCTTTAAAATCATATCTTTGCTATTTTGTTTGCTCTGCTATGGCTTTATCTAAATTTCTCGACAAAAGCTCTGCCAGAGATTTGATGATATCCAGTTTCATAAGGCCTACTAAAAAGTAGTCGAGCAACCCATCTAGGACTTCTTGAAATGTGAAGACTCTTGGATTCATCCAACCTCTGAATGTGATAATACTAACAATAGAAAGTTTCAACAATGGTGTACTTCTAGGAGTAAATCAATACAATTTTATAGATTCTGTAATCATAGGCCTAATCATCTCTTGTCTATTTGTGAAATCATACAAAGTGATTAACGCGTCATATATTTATAACTACCAGACTGAGAATTGGTATACATTGTTTGTATGACGGATAGATTGACTTGTGTAGGACTGATCAAGGATGGTTTCCCCCGAGCTACTAACTGAAGGTTCTCTAAACCACAATCACACAGGTATTGCTATGCCGCATGACTCGTGGCTTAGGTGTTGGTTTGTGGTACATGTGTGCATGATTCATTTTTATTTTTGTATTGTTATATACACATTTATTTTCATGTAGATCAATACTACATTGTGATTAAATATAATACATTGGCTTAGGACTATTTGCATATTTATTCCTCTGTATCCAAGTCAACGCGTATTTGAAGTATTATGCTTGCAAGTTAAATCATTATATTGTAGCAAATGCCTTAAAATCCATGGGCTAGTTTTGTCCTATTTTGTAAATAGCTTTAGGCCTACCTTTATTCATATTAGTTAGAAGGGATTATTATTTTAAGAATACAAGTTTAACTCAAGAGTCACAACATTAAAGTTTCTAACTGACGTTTGATTATGTTTCATGAGTAAAATTATGTAGACCTACGTAGTTAAACCCAATCATTACATCAATCATTATGCAATAGTTATGCAATGATTAGCATAATCAGAACTAGGCTATGTTTATTTGTTGTTCTAAGTCAATAGTTATTTAACTATGAAACAAGCCCATGTGGATAAAGTAGACCTTTGTCTAAAAATATACTCTGGAAATCAAAGTTAAATTTATATACCCTTACTTCAAAATCTTTTAGATATTTCAACTTAAACATTTGTTCTGTTAATTTTTATTTCATGAAATAAGTTGTCTATGTGGGTTTTTATAATACCTGTTATGCAGTTCCAAAAGTAACAATCGTGTTTAATTGTTCATGATGGGTTAGCCTCTGGATCAAGGTAATGCAAATATAAAAGGTTTAATTTACCTGTTGCGTCAATTGATCCTTTAAGTTAGTTAAATAACTACGGCCGTTTCGTACTGCTAAACGAGTACATCTTCAGGTCATGAACGTTAAAATACGGCCTTCTCATCCATGGGTGGAGTCGTCAGCACATTTAGGACACATAACACGAACACATACGAAACAATAAAATATTTACAATTAAAAAACTTGGCCAAGTAGTCCGAACACGAGAGTTGTGTAACCGGTAGCGTTAGATGATGAGTCATGAACTGTCATGACTCATCATCTAACGCTACCGGTTACACAACTCTCGTGTTCGGACTACTTGGCCAAGTTTTTTAATTGTAAATATTTTATTGTTTCGTATGTGTTCGTGTTATGTGTCCTAAATGTGCTGACGACTCCACCCATGGATGAGAAGGCCGTATTTTAACGTTCATGACCTGAAGATGTACTCGTTTAGCAGTACGAAACGGCCGTAGTTATTTAACTAACTTAAAGGATCAATTGACGCAACAGGTAAATTAAACCTTTTATATTTTAATTGTTCGACGAGATGCCACTGACAAATACATCAGTCTAGAGAATACATTAAATCTGATGTCTTTAGGCCTAATATTATCCGGACTGATGTGTTTGGCTATGGCATCTCGCCGAAACATGTACATGATTGTTACTTTTGTAACTGCATAAGAGTTATATTATAAAAACAACCATATAGTCAATATTGCAGTTTAGAGGCTATCACAATAAATTATAATAAATAAGTTATGTATTTTTTGTGAACATATGTTGTGGTATCAGCAAGTTTCTAATCTGTCTGCGTATACATGCATTTGGCCTGTTTGTGGAACATTCAGTTTATTTTATATTTTATCCAATGTATGTGACATATCTGCTCAAAATGATCAATTGGTTTTGTATTGATCACTTGTAAATCATTTTACAACAACAGAACCCTAACAATGTGGTAGCCTAACAGGCTCTACGTCCAAAACAAATTTTACATATTAAACTTTTATATAATTTTAAGTATTTTTTAGATATAGGTCTAGAGTAGTACCAAATTTAATTTACTTTTTGTAGAAATTCAAAAAAAAAACTTTATCTACTGCTTTTATTTATTATGTCAATAAAAATATTATCAGCATTTATAAGCAATACAACAGCAATGCACATTGCAGCAATTAGTTAGCAAATAATTACAAAGAAATAATTTCAAAGTTACCAAGCTAAATCTCCCTTGTAACTCTAGAGATGTAAAATAACCAATTTAATTGGAGAGGTGGAATTCCAGCTGCTGTGTTCCCATGGGTTTTGCTAGACAGGTGCATCACAGCTGTTTGCTTCTCTTCTCTTTCAGCACTCTCCTGAAGAATTAAAAATGCAAAAACTGGGTTTTATGATACAGGGCTGCATAACATCAAATGAATAAGTCTGTCTGACAAAATCCCTTTATATTGACCATTTAAAAGTTCCTTCTGACCGCTTCCCATTTTATATATTGCAAATAATCAAATGAGCTTAAAAAATATATTTGGAGGGAGGAGAAAATATAAAGTGTCTGAGGTTCAAATCATTTGAGAGACAAGGAAAATATTGTATTGGGCCTCATATGTGTGAAGTACAAATGATTAATGATAATATTTGTGGGCTTCGCTAAAATGTTTTTAAGATTTTAATTAGGCCTATTTGATTCACATTGTTCACATTTCAGGAGGTATTTTCCTCTAAGTACTGCTTTCTGCTGAAAAATCTATATTTTACATTTTTATCCATTTCATAAGTGATGAGCCCATTGTATTTTTAATGAGGTTCACTCAGAGGTGTTGCTGTAATTGTTGCATGTATACTACTATTTTATAATTGAGACCTCACATAATTGTGCCATCCATTTAATTTTTATCAGTTCATGTATTCTTATGGCCAGTTGGACAAAATCGCAAGAAATCTATGGATGTTTTATGTATGTTTGAGCCCTAACACTTGGCCATTTCTTCGTGTTTTGCACGTTTTGTCAGCTTATCACAGTAGAGCATACATTGCTCATGAATGCGCACTCCCTCATTCCTTTTGTTGTATTTGTAAACGCTTAATGTACATTAGCATTCTATCAAAATAAATGGTTGTTGCTAGAACTATGTGTACAGTAAACCTAAGATAGCCTCTATCTAAATGTATAGTAGGCCAAGGCCTATGCTTTTGTTTCTTAATTGTATAAACTATGATAGTTAAATATTTATCTTCAAGGAATGGTGATCTTATTTAGTGATAAGTTAACAATTGTTGGCATCACAATCTTTTGATGCTAGCTTACTGTTACTAATTTGTATTTGAGGACATTGTGAATATGAAAAATATTTTCGCCTTTTCTAAAGTGTTTTTTGTTTCAATTAAGCTAGAAAAGTTGTTTTTACCTTAAATCAGAGAGCATTTCAATTTGGCAAACAATTTGAAAAAATATATAGCCTATATTTTTATGCATACTTAAATTAGTGCCCATCCTCTAAAACTATAGAATACACATTTTGGATTGAACTAACTTTTTTGAAGTAGGACGTGAAAATTGCAATTCAAGAAGATATGCCAAATCATAAGAAAAATAAATATTTAATAGCTCAGAGAGTGTTAATTAAAACTAAAATCGTTGGAAAAAATTGCTGGTATAGCCTAATCATTTATTACTTTGTTTTATAATTTTTATTCAAACAGAAAATCTTAAACCCCCAACATGATGATTTTTAACCCTTGTGACTTAAACCAATGACATTATATGAAATTGATTGTTTTAATATTTAAATTTTTAGTAAACTTGGAGGATTCAAACTTAAAACCAAGACAGGATTTAAATCCTTTATCATGAATGTAGTAGTCTTCCTAATTATGATATAAGTTAGCACATTAATTCCTTTTCAAATACAGATAAAACGTATTTAATTGAATTATGTTGGCATTTACAATTTTTTATGTCAATTTTGTGTTGCTTGAGAAATCTAATAAAAAGAATCAACGCTTAAATAAAATCATTACAACTATTAATTGTGAACTGTCCCCTTTAAACACATTAACCGTCATACATCGCTTATGCGTCAGAGATCCAACAATGTTTAGTGTTCTAGATTATTGTGAAACTGATTGATCACAAAAAGTGTTTTTGAATTTGTGAACATCAATTAATAAAATACTATCACACCAATTTAGTTCCAACTCCCCAATTTTTTCCTTAAATATATCAGTTATCTGTAAAATCATAAATTATGTGTAAAATGTTGAGTAAAATGTGGTGGGAACTGTGAAATTGTCATACGATGTAGTCCACCAGGATATCACATAAGATATACCAGCTTGCACTGTTAGTGTACTCTATCAGTTTAGTCATTCATAAGCTAGAAAATATATAAATAATGAATGAATGAGTGTTGTTTGCAGATAACACCAACTCAGAACCAACTAACACCAGCACTACAGTTGATAACTCAAATCCAAGCATTGTGAGTATTAGATTTGTCATATCTGTTTAGTATTAATTGTTTAAATTACTCACAGACTTTATATATTTCACAAAAGTATTGTTGAAATTCTCAGTAAATACTTTTCAGAATTAACAAGTGTTAACTATTCCCCATCGTCAAAAGATTCTGAGTGGAAAATAACAACAGTTTGAAAATTGTTGTCAAACAATCATTTCCAAATTTAATAAAAGAGTAACAACAGTGATACATTTTTTGTCATTTTTCAAACTCTATTTGGCATGAAAACATGACACGGCAAATTCAGACTATGATATTTGTTTACTTGCTCTAAGATCTTCAGGCGCAAGTGTGTTATGTTATTTTTTCTAAGGTCAAGTAAGAACTTCTTTTAAAATGTGTTTAGATTATTATTGCTAAATTCAAAACAGTATAGCACTCATTTAAAAACTCACATCCAAAAAAAAAAAACTTAAACCCAAAACTGCAGAAGAAGAGTGGTTATACCCTCTTAACATTCTCATTAGAATAATTCAAAAGTTTGATGGCTAAAATTGTTCTAAACATTTACTATTAATTTGGCATTTGTAAAATTTAGTTCTATGTTATTAATTGTTAATTCTATAGCGTAACCAAATTTTAGGTGATGGTTTTTAATTCCTTGAAGGTGTGAATTCAAAGTATTTTACACTTAAAATTTCAAGTGAAAGTTTTTGGTGAATAAATTATTTTGGTGAAGGGGTGATACAACATAGTAGTACCTCAATAACAAGCCTAAATGGTAAGATTTTAGTCCTAATGTTAATAATACACAATAATGTCAAATCTTTTAAGATATATTCTTCAACAAAAGTTCAAAAAACAAAAAGTGATTTTGTTTCCAAATCAAACTATGGTTTATGAGATCTTCCTAAAAACTTTATAAAATATTGTAACCGAAGTTTTATGTTTATTAAGAAACTATTGTTAATCATATTTTTTGCACAGAATGACTCTCAAGGCTTGTAATGCTTAAGATAATTGAGATACTATACCTTAAAGATCTTTGCCACCTAGGTGTAAAGATCAAACCTCAGCAACTTGAACTGTGTGATAGTTTCCTAATTTGTTCAACTTTATTACCAAGTAAGAATAATACATGGATCCAATCCTTTAATGAGACAGTCCTTCGCCAAAGCTGTATTTTCCAAATATCCTTAATTTTGTATGATCTTGATATTTTGTTTCCAGAAGCAGCCTTCTTATCTGAACCTGGCCTGCTGCATCAGTGGATACACCACGCTGACAACATACAACAGCAAGCAGAGAGAAGGTTTCAGATCCAGAGACATAAGTCCTGCGAGAATCACAGGAGCTGGAGCAGATGATGCTGTCTTCACATCTCTCTGCGGAAACTATCTCTCAGCACAACCCAGATATCTGACAGAAATGGACCACCGCAAAAAAAGTTAGTTTGATTGATTTGTGCTTAAAGTTTAGTTACTGTACTAAAGATGATTGCCCACATGTAAAAAGTTATCAGTGTAAAAATGTATTTGTGTTAGTAGTAAGTAGGCTACGTATTTCAAAATTTTTACAATATTAGCAGGGGTTTTTAATACTTGTCAGTAATCACATGACTGGCTAGAAAAACTCGTTGGTTTTAGTAATCAAATTTTTATTTGATGGTTGACAGGGATGTGTGACAGTTGTAGTTCTCTATTTTAATTTTATATTTTATTGGGTATTTATTACGAAATTGACAAATCACTTTGTTAAAGTTTTCCATGACCTTATACAGTAGTCCTTCAACAATTTGGTCCTTTATAATCCAGACCCTCCAGCCTCCAGTAATCCGGCTTGATCCGCTCAAAAAAGTTGAACCTAAAAATGTCAGTAGCCTCTGTATGTAAATCCATGTTAGAGAACAGTCCAAGATTACTTACTATACAATAATTGTGTAGTAGGTACAGTAATTAATCATCCACAACACAGAACTGCAATGTATAACTTTAATTGCTGTATTTACAAACAACATTTGTATAGTTGGTACCCACAATGCCGAACTGCTCTGTTATTACAGTAGCAAGTGGCAAGGAATTTGGGAACAAAAGATACAACTCACATAAGCACACTCGTCACTTGCTCTCAACAAAACATTGTTAATTAGCAGTACATTAAAGCGTTACTGTCACTGTGAATTTTTTGTAGGAAACTAAGCAGTCTCAAATTCTAATGTTCACTAATTTTAGCGGTCTCTTGATGGTCCTCCATTTTCCTAAATCCGGCCTACCGGCTACCCATCTGAATACTTCTTACAACTGACTTTTACTGTTTTATCAGGCGGTGACGGGATGATGAATGGCAACAGTAACGGAGCCTCAACCTTCACCTGCTCTTCTACCTCTGTGTACGTACAATTGACATTCTACTCTTATGTCTTAACTAACTGAACGGAAACCCACTTTAGACAAAAGTTTTTTGTAATCAAGAAAATAATTCATTTTATCAGTATTTTGGAATATGAAAAAGAATTAAGAAATATTTTAAATTTGTCTAAGCATTTTTTTTTATTGTATACATTGAAAATCTTTCTTATTTAAGAGGGATTTAGCCTTAGAAGCAATATATTTTTTAAGGATATTAAATGATGTTTATATCCTGCCAAGTTCTAACTAATACCAAATAAACTTATATTAAAAACATTGTTCATGGTTTAGGGTCTTGTCGATCTACTCTATTCGGTTTTAATGAAACACTGTGTTTTTTGTCTTTCCACAGCACTGCAAACAGTTCCTTTTACCGATGTGAAACCAGAAAGGAAATTTTGTGTCATACAGGTACTATTTTTATCTAATTTACTATGCACCTTGACTTTGGAAACATTGGTAGAATGCTAGTTTATTGTCTCTAGTAAATGTACTGTTACCTGTACATGTTTAGCTAAGATTTAAACCCTACTAAAAATAAGTTGCATCCATTATTAAAAAAAGGCAGTTTAAATGTCAAAATCTCACAAAACATGATTAAGGACACATAATTTTTTTGATATAACAATCAAGTAATATTCTTTGGATTTGGACCATTCATCCAATTGTCTAGCCTATAACATAAGATTCTCTGTAAAGGTTTTATTGATAAATAAATTCTTATTGTCTTTAAAAAATAATTTATTGGCTAAGAAATGTGAAAAAAGTATGATAATCTGAAAAAAATATGCATCAGTGTAGTTACAGATAGTGGCCTTATTCTACCTCAACATCAGCAGTTTGAAATTTTATTGAATGAGTAATATTTAATAATATTTTTAGTTATTCTTGGCTTAGAACAAAAAATTATTCAACACTGTACTTTTTTGATACTTTTGCAATATCGATACTTTGGTTGCAATATTCTAGTGGTATCGATAGTGCAATTCCGACATGAAATTGATACCAAGTATTGAAGGATTGGTGGCATCGCAACGTTCCTACATATAAGTAGTTCTGTATACAGTGTGTAAATTAAGTCTGGCACACATTTTTTATCTTTTTTCTATAGTAGATAGAAGAAATCAATTTGCGGGATTGATTAATAACAAATGTTAGGCACTTTTTCATCATTTTGAAAAAAAAATCCCCTTAAGAGTGGGTCCCAGTAAAACAAAATCCCGAAATGGCCGAAATTGGCACACTAGCGCGCGTGGAGTGGAGCGGACATTTGTTGAACTACGTGCGTGGCAGTCTCGACGTCACAGGCATGTATCGATCGATAAGTGACTCACGGCGCGGGCGCGGTGTTGCCGAACCCTCGCCAGGCGCTAAGCAATGTAAGGCAACGCCGCATTAGCACTGGCGATGAACAAGTGTCAGTGGACTGGACGGCGATTCCACCCTGCTCCTGCTCGGAGTGTCGGAGTGCACTAAAGTCACTTCCATCGCTTATTTACTTAGAACACTCGATTTTGCTCACTGCTCTTCGTTGTTAGTGGATTTATCTGGGATGGTTATTTAGCCTGTTACAATTTTATATCATAGAGAATGCTTTGGGAATATAATCAGTTTACAAACAAAAGTTTTGAAGTGGAACAAGGATCATAAAAAATTTTCTAAAGCAATAATTGAAAATTCTTATTAAAACCCTATAGTTTATCATGTTTTCGGATAGAACATGCAATTTAAAAACTTTTTTATTCGTGATATTTATTCCATAAACCCACTAGTTTAGGAGATACAGCCTATGAAAAAATGACTTCCGGTCTAATTTTTGTATCATGCAGCTCCTAAACGAGAAAGTTTAGCGCAAAAATGCGAAGAGTAAAAAAGTGTTGTACGAAAGAAAAATAGTGGAACAATGCTCATGAAAAATAAGCAAAAACAGGGTGAATAATATTTAATTAAATTGATCTGTTATATGTACATAGTGCAACATTATCAATTCTGAGATTACTAAAAAAATGAAACAAGTTAAGTAATTACATTAATGAATGGTAAATCGGATCCAACACATGTTGGAAACATTAGTTGAAGATCAAGTTTTCTAAATACCAACGTAAATACTGTTCAACTTTACAATCATGGTGGATGGCATAGGCCTAACCAAAACAACACTTGACAAACATACAATTTGTGAAACACTTACACTAGGCTTGTAGAACATCACAGAATGAAGTTATTTGCAATCTGTTTAATGCATAAGTTACAGATTTTTGTGATAAGTTACCGATGACGTTAATTGTGATAGTTGTGATACTAGATACAGTGATGGAACACCTGCTTAACATATAATAATAATGCAAATATTTTTGGTTTTTTTTTCAGTTATTTGAGCAATTTTTTTGTAGTTGAACAATTTAAGGGGGGAAGATGAATTAATCTTAATAATTGTAATAACATTAGCATTGTTAATTAATTCATCTACATTCAAATACCGGTATCCTCCTCAACTCCCAGAAAATCAATTCAACAACTTGAGGCCTAAACATAATCATAGTATCAAAAGTATTTATTGCAACCATTGCAACTGTCCGCTCCTCTTTGACCGATTGAAAACATAAATGATCAACAATCACAGATAGTTCAGTGCTAAGGTAAGGAATTCACAGTTTGGAGGTCCCGGATTCAAGACCCGCTGGGGAAGATAATTTTGATTCTAGTTTTTTCTCAAAATTTGTTTTTATGAACTATTTAATCAAAATGCTCAACTGATATATATGCATTTCACACAAAATCTTTATTATTTCGTGTTTAGGATATGCCCATGGGATGGCTGGTCCTATGTGAAAACAATTTTCAACATGTTGCAAAGTCAATTTTAAAATTGTTGTCAAAACAGTTTTTAAATTGTTGTAAAACTGTTGCAATATAGTTATAAAACAATTTTTGAAATATTTTAAATTTTGCCGGTTGTCAACTATACTCATATTAATAACAGTTTTAATATAAGTTTAAAATTGAAACAAATTTTTCTCGTTTTTCTGCTACTTGGGACATCAACATTTCTTATAATACTTAAAATTTCTTATAAAACTTATCTTCTATTTCATTTTAATTTCAACCCCCACACTCCATTGTCAGTCCTTTCATTATAACGTTAAGCCTTTTAAATTTCATTGCATGTTTGTTCATTTGTTTCAATAAAACACCTTTTGCAATTCGTATATCTTTGTTAACTTATTAACTTTAAACATTTATAGAATAGGCCTAGCCTAAATGAATATTGTGAGGTGAGTTTACAAGTTCGGGAAGTAAACATTTCATATAAAAGGTTTCAAGTTTTTCTTTCATGTTTACTTCCCAAAAGTCATCGTCCCGATCAATTTTTACAGCTTTTAGACCTTTTGGTTTCCAAATGGCAAGTTTCCTCCCAACCTTTCGAAATTGGTTCTTCATGTTTGTCATATGTTTTCCGGTTCATGGCACGAACATTCATTGCAGACAGCAGCCGTTCAGGCGACAAATCCTCCGCCATTGGTAATAGAACCGGCTACTGCTGCACTGTTTATGTCCATTGACATTGCATTTTCCCGAGGTTCAGGCTCACTCCATATTGTCTGTTTGATGTGGCACATGTTGCAATCAAACACAAACCTACTCCTAAGCCCTCTTTTTATTTCACTAACTAATTTCAGGTTTCTGAGGGAACAGCCGAATTGAGGCGCATGTTAACTTAGTTTGACAAATTGATCAACTAAATAACAAATGTCAACTATTCTACGACCGGTAATATGACAGTTGCCCAAACAGTCAGTAGGATCAGATGATTGCGTGGAATTGTCTACAAAGCCCAGGCGCATATTGTATTGAGCTTTGTGGCACGATACTGGCAGTGCAGCACAGCACAAGGCGGAATTGGGCAAAAAGTCTGTGTTGCACAGTTGACATCGCAAATTGGGCAGTGGCGTACCGTGGGGGGGGCGGGGGGGGCGGCCCGCCCCAGGCCTCACACTAGCATAGGCCCCCAAATGGTAGACTTTATTTTTTTTTAGATACAAAAATAATAAAAAAATTTTAAAAAATCAGAGAAAATCTCTAAATTAAATTATTTTTAAAATACTATTTTCAATCATGATTTATATTTATTTTACATAGTTATTTAAAACTGAGCTAAAACAAACAGAAATGCCATTGTGTGTGCAGTGTGCACGATACACGCCGTTATAAGCAATGTGCGACAGTGTCCGCCGTCCACCACCATAACTCTGTTACTCTGTAGTCTGTTGTCGTGGGGCTGTGTGGCCTTGGACAATGCTTCCACCCCTACGGCCAACGCTGTTAGAAACATAGACTCGCCCGCTTTGGCCGTTTGGCGAATTTGAATTGCCCGACGAGCTTAGAATTTAAAGGTTGTAAGTCACTGTGTAGTGTGTTGGTGTTAAAGTAGTGGTCAGTTACTAGTTAAGCGTTTAATGTGGTTTATTTTTAACGTATACTTTAATGACATGTTGATATTTGTATTTACGATTCTGTGATAGTGCTATTTCGTCATCAAGCATTAGCATTGAAGCATTTAGAATAGGCATAGGCCTACAAGCTCCTTGTATGTTACGACTTCTCTTTGTCATCAAATTACGTTTTTGGTAAGTTATTTAGTTTATATCAAACTTAATCGTATGAAGTTGGATTATTTAGATTATTTCAAATTATTTGGTTTTGATGCAAGTATTGGTATACAGTATAGGTTGTTTTAGCTATTAGTAGGCCTATCTTAAAAATATATGGAACAGTATTTTATCTGATAACAAATTAGGCCTATTTAATTGGTAGGGTTGTTTTAAGTTTTATTGATATAATTTGAGTTGTAAGGTTGTAGGCCTAATTAGTTTCCCTTTCTCTTTTAGCTTTGTAATGTGAATGTGTGGCTAAGCTGGTATTGAGGGACCATCTTAAATGAACAGTGTCCAAATTGGGTGGAAGTAGACTCTAGACGGCACTTTTCAGTTTGATAGGGATTGCACAATGTTTTGTTTTTCTTCTTTTTGCATTATTATTGTAGAGGTGAGGTAGAGGAAGACACATATTCATATTTATTTTTATTTTGGTTAAATAAAAACATGTGTTGAAATTAATGTATGATATTGATAACATACATAATACAGTAGTACATAACAGTAACCTAAATAAATAAATAGCAGTAACAGAGAAATATATAAAAAAGGCTTAGAGGTAAAAGCTTAAAGTGTTAAGTTTGAGTTTGCCTTTTGATTTTAAAGATGGAGCGGAGGTAAAACTATTATTTTTTTTTTTAGACTCATGATAAAATGAAACGAAACTATCAAAGTGGATGGGATAAGAAGAAAAAACAAAAAGCTAAAGAACAAGAAATTCAACGTCTGTCAGGCTCAATTTTGAAATTTACTCAA